ACGTGTGCAGGCGCGTTTGAACTGCAATCCACGGATAGCCCCTGGGAGACAGGCAGACACGCAGCCTGGCCTGGCCAGGAAAGGCCACATCGAGTTGGGGAAGGACCGGGAAAGCTTTGCATTTTGGGCTAGTTGATAGAGAATTAAAAGAAGGTAGAAGTCACCCTGTGCGCAGTCCTGAGGAGAAAGCCGGGGCTCTCTACTCCCGTAAGGAGTCACAGCCTTGGAAAACTCACGGTTCTACCCCGTCCACAGGAGCACCCTGAGTCAGAAGGGACTCGGTGGCAGTGAGCTTGGCTTTGAGTACACAGACCGAGAAGCCTAGTCGCTGAAGAGATGCGTTTCTCTTTTTAATCGATTTAAACATCTGAATCGCATGGTACATAATTACACATCAATAAAACTGTTAAAATAAACATTAAAAATCTGAGGGGAGAGTTGTACAAGTGATGGAGGAGAGATACATTTAAGAAAATGAGGAGATGACTTTGTTAAAGTTCATAGAAAAATGAAATGAAAGAAATAATGAAATTTTCCGAATAACTTTTTGAAGCAATTCCTGTATCTTGGGCAGCTGAGGAGGAAGGAGCCCCGTACTTCAACATTATGTGGAGGAACGTATGAGTCTGCTGAGCCCAGTGCCAAATGCTGGGCAAGGCTGTGGTTCAAGCCCTCTGGCAGCTGTGCCAGAGCAAGACGAGGCTGTCTTCTGTGGCACCGATGGACCACTTCAGAAACCCTACTGAGCAGTCCTCCTCTGCCCTGAGGGGTCCCTAGGAGTTGGAATTGACTCATCCGCAGGAGGTTTAGCTTTAGGTCCTCTGATTCTGAAGCAGGTGACCTCCAGCCCGGGTGACAGAAAATAAGCAAACAAACAAGCTCCCAGAGAATTCAGACCTACGCTCCCTCAGACGGCAGCATCTCTCAAATCAGCAACCTTTCGTTATAGCGCAGAGACTGAAATGCTAACTTGTAATTGGCCCTTGGTGACTCAAGAAACCCCAGGTCTGGATCACTGCTTCAAGGCTTCACACTTTTCCGGCTTAGCTGTTTGCTCCACTCTGAACTCTCATTTGTCCCGTATAACCACGTGGTGTAATGCATCCTACCTTTGTTCTGTAGGCTGGGAAACTGAAGCTAAAAGAAATGAAGAGGAAAAGAG